CGTATTTATGTATCAATGTGTATTTTAGATTTACCGAAACATTGAATGTATGATTTTCGTTATAATGTTATGAAACCTAAAGTCCCCTTTATTACTTTATGTGGATACCAATAGTTTTATATATGATATTAAAATGTGATTTTCATGAAGATATGATATGTATGATTGATTGATTATATTCATACATCAGATTATCCTAAAAAATTAGATACAATGCACCTTTAAAAAATAAAAAAGTATTAAGTAAAATGAAAACAATGGTAAAATATTTATTGAATTTGTAGGATTAAAACTGAAGACTAAATAATTGAAAAATCTAAAGGAATTAAAAAATGTGTAGTTGACAACAGAATTACCTTTGAAGATTATAAAAGCTGTTTATTCAATAAAAATGAAAAATATAGAACTGTGAATCTTATTAGAAGTAAAAAACATGATTTATATTCAACCTAAGTAAATAAATTAGCTTTATCTCAGAAAGATGATAAAAGATTTATGTTAGAAAATTGAATTCATACAAGAGCATTTTAGGTCATTATAAAAATGTTTTAAAATAATTTTAAATAAATGGCAGAAAAAATTCTACCTAAATATCAGGAATTATTAGAAGAGTTTATTGAAGAATTTTAAGATAAAGTTGGTTGGAAATGTGTTTCTGAGAATCAAAAATTATTGGAAAAGTTTATTGAAAAGGTTTAAATGTAAGGTTGGTTGAAAATATTTGAATATTTTTTAATATCAAGAATTTACGGAAGAAGTTATTGAAAAATTAAGTTTGCTTGGAGATTTATTTCTGAATATTAAGAATTAACAGAATTTATCGAAAAATTTAAGATAAGGTCAAATGGGAATGTATTTCTTGATATTAAGAATTAACAGAAGAATTTATTGAAAAATAAAGATAGAATTGATTGGAAATGTATTTCTAGACATTAAGATCTGTCAGATGAATTTATGGGAAAATTTCAGGATAAATTTTATTTTTTTAATGATCAGAATTTAAAAAAACTTTAAGAAAAGTTTTAAGGAAACTATACCTTTGGGTTAGCCTTTTAGATTTTTAAAAAATAGCTAAATAAATGGAAGAATCATTAAATGATATTAGAGCTTTAAATTTTACAAATCGTGAAAAAATGTAGTCTCTTTATAATGATTTGTATGAAAAATTTATTTCAGATGCTTCTGAAAAAGAACTATCAGAAAAATTTCAAGCAATAATTAATTGAAAAGGAAGAAAATGAAGTTATTTAGCTGAAAGGGTTAGGAATTTTATATGATATTCAAAAGAATTTATCTTGTTGGTGAAAAGCCTTTAAAAATGTTTACCAGTAAATGGAAGAATTCAGTTATCTCGGATATTACCCTAAAACTCTAAAATCGAAAGATTTAGAGACTGGGTCTGAACTTATTGAGAAAAATTGAAACTAAATATGGAGATTCATGCATTGTAAAAATTGTAGTAGGTGATGAAGATAAAGAGTATTTCCTTAAAAAACATCATGGAAAACTTTCTGACAATGCAATCAAGAAAATTAATAATGGAAATTACATATTCAATTATAAAGGTGTGAATGATAGAGAATATTTGTATGAATTAGAAAAAGAATCTTAAAAAGGTATATTTCAATGTTAAAGGTATGAATGAAGGAGAATATTCCTACGAATTAGAAAAATAATCTTAAAAATGTGTAAGTTTTTTAAACTTTGAGTCATGCTTATCTTTTATTTTAGAAAACAAAATTTTTATTCTTGACATTTTTCATATCTAAAAACACATTTTTATGTCATTTTTATTCTGAAAACTTAAGATTTATTTCCCTGTAATTTTTTTAGTCTGTCATATCTAAAAATATGTAAAAACATATGTATTTTGTTAAAAAAATACTTGTTTGAGAGTCGTTCATGTTTTTGGGAATGTGTCCCAGAAAAGTCATTTTTGACTCTTACCTCTTCACATTGAAGACTTAAGAATCATTTCATGTTGAAGAAAAGTCAAAATAGTAGTATTATAATAAACTGTGACAAAGAATAATTAAATTTGAGAGAGTAGAATGTGAAAGTAGATTTTTCATTTCTCGTGCCAATTGTAGTTTTCATTCTTTATTATGAGAGAAAGTGAAAGAATAAGTAAATGCTAAATTTGGAATAGGAAGAGAATGACTGAATGAAAAGTGAAACTCCTGTACTGTTTAAAAGAATTGAAATAGTTTTTAAAAAATATATAGGCTTTTAAAGTTGATTTCTTTTCAGCTTTTTGTATCTAACTTTTTGAACAGTTTGAACTTCTTTTTGATTGTCAGTTGTTTCTTCAAAGAGAAATTCCAGTGCAATGTTACTATCAATTCTAGTTAATAAGTGTTTAGTTCATATATACCATGGCCCTTTGAACCTTAAAGTTTTAGAGTGGGAAGAAATGCATTTTGCAAAGAATTGTTAAAGCAGTGCTATTAATCTGATATATTTAATATGGATTGGAAGCATTAAATAAGACCATATTTATTTATTGTTTTACAAGCAGTAGGTTTTAATCATGTACAGCAGGGCTGGCAATAGCACTGTTCATGAGCCACATGCAGCTTTTGCAGGTGAGTGGTGCATCTCTTGTGCAAATAAAATATATGTATAAAAATGGTAAACTAAAACTACTCACTGTCCGAAATAAACAAAGGCAGATTATCATTGTGTGATTCATGATGTTCGGCCATCTTTAATATGTATCCTACTATTGTGACAGATTGGATTAAATACAGCTTTTTAAGGAGAAAAATATTTGTAGAATTCATGAAATGAGGCATTTTAGGAAAATAAATGAACAATGTTATAACAGCAATTTTGTAAAAAATACAAAATCTAACTTTTTATGTTTCTCCAGTTCCTGTATTTATATTTAGAAAAGTTTTCAGTCATCATTAAAAATAAAACAACCGGAAACAAAAATTGACAGAGATATTTGATATTATAATCAAACATCATATTCTGCGGGCAGAACCAAATAGAATAGCAGAATATTTGCATTTGTTCATAATTAAAAATAAAATATAAGTTTAGAAAAAGGTTCCTGATGTTAAGAAATTAAGTAACAAGCATTTCTATGTATTAGGGCGAGTCAAATGAAAGTGAGCTAACCCCTCCTCAGCAAGAATGGTTTGGTCCATCATCTGCGGCGCATGCGCGTAGCACAGAGACAGCCTTCATTTACGAAAGTGGCGCGAAAGTGTGAGGTTAAAATTCTTTAAGGCGCTTTTACACGGAGTTGAAGACGGTAGCGTGACATAATGGACGCTCCAAAAGAGGAACAGCGTGGTGTGGTCAGGTTTTTGACAGCTGAAGGTGTTTCCCAACATGAAATTAGTCGCCGTATGACTGCTGTGTACGGTGAACATTGCATCGCATTGGCCACTGTTGAATTCACCCCCCCCCCCAAAGAAAGCAAAGGCTGTCATTTCCTCGGGAAAGGTGCTATTGACTTTTTTTTTTTTCGATCATCAGGGGCCATTACTGATTGAATTTGCTAAACGTGGAGAGACTGTCAATAGTTTGTGATATTGTGCAACGCTGGATCGGCTGCGTGTCGCAATTAAGAACAAACGACCTGGAAGATTGACGAATGGTGTGATCTTGCTACACGACAATGCTCGTCCCCACGTCGCTGATGTGGTTAAGACACAACTGGCAAAGTTCAAGTGAGACACGCTGCAATATCCTCCATACAGCCCAGATTCGTCGCCATGCGACTTTCACATTTTCGGGAAACTGAAAAAACATCTCAAGGGTACCAGATTCGTGTCGGACGCCGCCGTGAAGGAGTCGGTTATAGACTTTTTGAATCGACAGCCCAAGGAGTTTTATGAGACGGGGATCACCCGGCTCATTTGTCAATGGGATAAATGTCTCAATGTTCATGGAGACTACCTTTAAATAAAGTACTCTGTTTGTCATATATTCGCATTGGCTCACTTTCATTTGACTCGCCCTTATACATTATTTTGAAAAATATTGATCAATGTTAATTATTCAAAATAGAGATCTTATACATGGATATTTCAGAATTTGTATTCTATGAAAGACTTTTGGGCTTCTGTTTTGGTATGTATACAACCTGTAATATAATTTGCATTGATTAAAATTGAAAACATATTTGTAATTATCCATGAATATCCATGAATAAGGAGTTTTTTTGTTAGAAATTAATAAAATATTTTTAAACAGGACGGAAAACTTATAAATTACTTGTATGAAAATTCTTTTGGCATACCAAATGTAATAAAATTATGAATTAAAGACAATAGTAATTAAAAAATATTTCAATATTTTAGAATTTAAGAGAGGAAATTAGATTAATCAAATTTATGTATGAATTTACCTGTCAATGCAAATTGAAAATTATGTCAAATATCACAAATTTGGAAATTAAATGTCTCAGTGAATTTTTAGCACATGGATGTCCTTCTCCTCCTCCTCTCTTTTTTCTCCCTCCTTCCCCTGTAAAGAGTACAAAATTTTCCTGAGAAACTTATAAAAAGTTAGATTTCATAATTTTTAAAAAATTTATTTCTTGTAATTTAAAAGTGCTGAACATGAATATTTGCATCATTTTAAATATTTTTGTAAGTGGAAGTATATGTCTATGACTAATAGTTGTGAAAATAAAGACCAGGTAATGACTTTGGGTAAATTATACATTCTTATAAAATTATTGTTTTGTATGCAAGTTCATATTTTGTATGGCTATTATATTCTGGAGATTTATCATGCAGCTGCAAAATGTTTCATTCAATGCAGATTAGAACATACAGTATTGTATATATAAATGAATATGTAGTCAGTAGGACATTCTATTTTATAATTGATTTTATTATAATTGGTTTTAATATTTTGTGTAGCTGTTATAAACTATTCTTGTAGTAGTTTTCATGTCTTACACTTGTATGTATTCGTTATTCCTTATTATACTTCCTTTTTTATTCATTATTGATAATTATCATCATTTTACATCTTAGAAACTTCTGCCTGGGACAAGGAGAGGATGCAGAGTGCGTCGAAAACCTTTGGTTGTTCAGAGACCTTTGCTGCCTCGTGAAGGAATGAGAACTCTTTCCGGTCCAAGACCTATGACAGTAGTACATATTGTGCCTTCTGTTTCACCATTAACTGCTGTCATACCATCTAGCATTACAAGAGCTGAGAATAAAATTAACATCCCTTCCGCAAAAAAGGTTATGAAGATTATTTCTCCAGGTAATTAACACAGATTTGAAACAATTTTATCAAAAATGCAATTTGGAAAATATACATTTCCATTAAATTGAGAATATATATATATATATATGAAAATTATCTGCTAGGAAATGTGAAGTGAAATTTAGATAGTTAAGTATGCTGTTGTAAAAATTAAGAATTGGAATTTTTAAATAAGGAAACTGGAAGTAGGAATTAAAGAATTAAAACAAGAGAATTATTGTTGATTCAATAGGAGAATTCCAACTTATCAAGGGCAATTAGATTCTCTCCCTGCAAACAACAGCAATTCAAGTGGATTGTGTTCCATCATTTCGCATTTCTGAACAAAATCCCTATTCAAATTAAAAATTTGCTACTTAATTTTATAAATTCTGAATTTAAATCTTAAAGAAGTTCAGAAATATGAAATAATTTCCTGATGTAATTATAGACAATTAGTTAACTTTAAAAATGAATAAGACTAAAAATAATTATAGTATTCATACAGAACAATACTTAAAAAGAAGCGTAAAGGAAAAATGAAATAAAAATTAAGATGGAAATGAAATGAAAGAAATGTACAAATAAAAGTCTAATAAACATTGGGCTTTCTTTGCAGTTAATATGCCAAAAAACAATTGTAGATTTTTACTTACATTTTACCCTAACTGAAAGTGAATTAAAAATGGTAGTATCACAGACAAATGCTTGAAGGAGCTAAGAGTTCCGTGAGTAAAGTTTGGGAGGGTCCATTTTGCTGTTACATTACTAACAGCACCTGTTCTCAGCAAACAGTTTAAAACTGTAGTGGCATGAAACTGAGTCAGGACAGTGTTTGCCATTGGCATGAATTTTCTTCAGTTTGACAGTTCAGCAAAATAAAACGACAGAAAATCATAGTAAAAACTGTTTGCTGAGAACTGTAAAGAAAAAATGCAAAGTAAAATTGTTAGTTTTATAATTAACTCAGTGTCTGAAATTTAGTGCAAAAGGAAATATTTTTTATAGTTTAATTTCAAAATAAACAAATCGTCAAATATAACAGGACATCCTTTCTTACCCTGCTTTACAGTTTTGGATGAGCTTATCATTACCTGCTAGTTAATTAAATTTTATATGCAATGCCAGCTTTTGTAAGAAAATAATTAATAAATTGTGTGGGTATGTTACTTTCTGTAACTACTTTTGTGAGTAAAGCTATCTCACCTTTTAAGTCGCAAACTTTTGAAAAAAAATATTTTAATCCTATTAATTTGATATATTTAATAGCAGAAAAATTAAAAATTCTTCTTTTATCTTTACGTTTAATCATTTTGTAGTTAAAGACATATCAAGCTTTTCTATATCTTATTGATTTTTATTGGCTTTATTAATTTTTAAGCTAGAAAGATATATTGGAAATTTTTCTCTGGCATCATAATTATTAAAACTAATTATATCGTCAATGTACCTGTAGACATTTCCAAAAAGATTTAAACTCACTGAGTCTAGAGTTTGTTGAAACTGAAAGTCTTTTTAGTAAACAAATATAGGTCAGAAAGCTGTGTCGAGAATTTCATACCCATAGGAATGCCATTTATTTGTACAGTCAAAAGTCGTTAATTCGGACACCCATAATCCGGAATGATCTATAATCCGGAATTCAAAGCTACAAACTTTCTGCTCATGCGTTGCGTTGACGCATGCGCGTAGGACTTTTACGGCTGTGAATATGCGTGTGTGCATGCGCATAATACGTTTACGCATGCACGTTTAATGTATAACAGACGGTATAAGCTAAGCTAAAATTATCTAATTCAGTTAATGTTGCAGATTGCGTTGTTCCTTAATCTTCGAATTGGATCTGGCTTATTATTTTTTGCAGACTGTTAGAGCAGTTTTATAACAGTAAGCTTGAACTTTCGATTATGTCAAATAGAATTTCCGATATATATTTACTAATATGTAAAGGATCTACAAAGCAAAAGTATGTTTTGATGTCCATCAAACAAAAAGTGGAATTGCTGCAAAAAATGGATAAAGGCATAATCCTTTGTTTATCTAACCATTCCGAAATCTGTTTATCAATCTCACGCTGCTCTGCGGCGGGACGCGCAATGAATTGGAAGTTGATCTGTCAGCACTATCCTTATCTTCAGGGCAGATGTTTTTATTTTATTTGGCTTATAATTCCTTACTAAATGTAGTATTTCATCTCGATGTACTCCATCTTTGATATGATTTAAATCAAATTCCTCGTCATTATATTTCGCTTCCGATAGTGAAGAAAGTGACACAGAGGTTATTGAAAACGAAGAAATTTCGATTGACAAATTAGTCGGTATTCTTGACGCAGCAATTATAGGACTTCAACAGCGGAACTTTGTAACTGAAGAAGAAATTATGTCTGTTTATAGAATTAAACAGAAAGTATTATCGCATAAAACGAAGCAACTTAAACAACTTACATTGAAAGAAATGTTTAATAAAGTAAACAAATAAATATTAAGCTTTTTTTTTATAAATTTTGATACCCTTTAGATCATAATTTTTCTTTATTTCATAAATTACGGTTTCATATTTTTAATTTTATAATTTCTGCATGCCATCTTACCAGATTTAAACTGATGATCTATAATCCGGAATCGCTGAAGTCCTGACGAGTCCGGATTAATGACTTTTGACTGTATAAAAATGGTGTTCTCAAATTTTATTAAATTTTGTAACACCAAGTAAATTTAATATAGCTGTTAAACAGTGTGCAGTTGAGGTAAGTTCTTCATTTATCTATTTTAATTATTGAAAGTATTTCTGGAAATAAGTTTGGCAGTTGCAGTAGACTTTTGTAAATTTCTGGTAAGGGAAGAAGAATATACAGATTCTCAAAATCATAGGAGTTAACTTTCTTAATTTCTAGTTCTTTAATAATAGAAATAATTGTGAATTTATTAATGCTCCAACAAAAATTGTGCTCTTTTCTAGCAAAGTTAAAAATCAAGTCATTAACTGTTTTAAGTTTTTGTGCAAATAAGACGTCGGTGTTCTTTTTATGATTTTTGGTCCTATTGGTAATATATCTGAATTTAAGTGGTGTTTTATGGAATTTGAGAAGAGCATAGAGGTTAGAAAATGTCCTGTTTTCAGTCGGAATTGCAATTTTAATTTTGTGGTGAAAAGCATTAAGCTCGTGTATAATGTAGATTTCATGTTTTAGTGTTTTCAATAAGTAATGGGTTAATTGAGTTCTACCTCTATTAGCTGGCTGTAGTATTTTTTTCAAATAATACTGAAGTTGTTACTTGCTTTATCTACTTTAGTGATAGTAAATTTTTGCAAAAGAGCTAGAATTTGTTAGACTTATTTCTATTTGAATTATTTGAAAATTTAAATTTATGTATATGTTTTATTTTCTTCAAAACTTTCCTTTTCATTCTAGAAATGTATTACTTGGTAGATAAAGTTTATTTTTTGTTTTAGTAATGAGTTTTTGAGGTTACTAAGTATTAATAAGGCAATGTACGTTTTTAATGCTGTAGACTGGTCTAAATTTAGTTCCTAATTTCAACAGTTCTGTTTAACATTTTTGTAATTAATCCATCTCTTAATTGAAATTTGGTCAATGCCTAAATTACCAGTGATGATGCTGTTATGATATTCATTGAGAAACAGAAATTTTTCTGTCATACTACAGTATTAAATAGGCTGCAGTAGAGTCTAGATTATGGTGGTTTGTAATACAGTGGCTTAAAGATTTTTTATGTTTAAAAGATGGTATGATATGTGCTGCAATTCCTGAGAAGTGTTTTGGAAGATTTTTAAAGATATGGAAATTAACTTGGTCGCATATAGGAGGAAGGAAATTTATTTTAGAGTAATGTGAATTTGTGTTAATTTTTTTCTTGATATTTACAAAAATCTGGAATCAGGTTGTTAATAATATTTTGCTTAGTTATTGATATTGAATGCAGTGGCTAATGAACATTAAGAACTATTTTCAGTTCAACATGTATTACCAATTATCTGGATTGTTAGCAAGTTACAAGTGTGCTACTAGTTAATTAGATTTTTAGCAAAATTTGCTGAATTGAAAAATGTTTGAATGTAACTTGAGTATTTTATTGCTAAAATGTTGTTATTGTTTTTGCAACACCTTTTTTTTTTTTTTTTTTTTTTTTTTAGCAAAACCTAAATTAGCAATAGGTTGAGGACTTTGTAGATTCTTTATTATCCTGATCTCCTGTGTTGAGTGCATAAGGTGTTAAGCATGTATGTACAGAGATTCTTGAAATAATCTTGATATTATTGTTTTAGTAACAATATCAAGAATTTGAAGATCAATCTTGTTGAAGTTGTTTAATGTATTCCTGCTCTGCAGTGATGATACTATTATTTTTAGAAAAGTCTTGCTTCTCATTCCTATTTATTTTTAAAGTAACAGTATTTTTTAATTTGGGACATATGATTATCAATTCTAAGATTAAGATTATTTTTGGTTTGTTCAACATATTTAATGTTACATGTTTTGCAAGTAATTAGGTAAATGCAGTTGTATGTTTTTCAAAGATATAGTTATTTTAGTTTTGGCCATTAAATTTACATGTAAGTCATTTTGAGCAGTGTCATTTTTAAAATTCACTTTGATACAAGCAGTATTGAAAAGTAAAGAGGGTACTGGCCTACAAATTTCTTTGGAGATAATTTACAGAAGTCCTATTTAAAGTAAGTACTGCTAACAGCTGTGTAATATTTTATAATTTGTAAATGGTAACATTTAATATTTAGTAACTTGTAATTGGAAACACTTTTGGATACAGATTTGAAAATAGAACTATGCTGGTATTGCAGTTCTCTGTGATTATACATTCTAAGATTGTAAATAAATAATTTCTAAAAGCTAAAATTGCACCCTCATAATTTTATATGGTGTCAGGAGTGTTTTGCTTTCAAAATGGAAATTTTAAAACCACGAGAGCCGATGAAATTTGATGGAAATCTAGCTTCGAATTGGCAGAAATGGCTGCAATCATTTGAAATATATG